CCCCCCCCCCCCCCCCTGATCCTTCACCCCTCTTTGCCGGCCGCGCGAACAAACTGAAACAAACGTAAGAATTTAGTTTGTGGAGTTACGCTTGTTCCCCCTCCCTCTCCACCCCTCTCTTGGACGGCTTGAATTTTTCATTGCGTTTCACGGGCAGGCCTGAATTTTTCATAATCACCATCAAGTGCAGGTGTGACAACGTGTTCACAGAGGCAGGCCGGATGCCGCCGTGCTCCTGCCGGCCCTGTCCCATCTCGGCCCCATCCGTCCCGATGTCCTCCGTGTGAGGTCCTGCGTCCTCGTAAAGTGCCCGTAATGTCTGTATCTTACTTTGTGTGTTTCCACGCCCGGCCCCCCGCAGCCCCCCTCCATGACCCGCCGAGCTCAAATGGCTGATTCTCGGATTGTAATGCCCCCCGGAAAACAGCTGCTTACATTCCATTATTACGTGTCCCAGGTGGAGGAGTAGGTCGCCTCCCACCGTTTATTTCTTTTCGTTTTGTTCTTCGAATGGCGTTGGCTTTTCCCCCCTTTTCGCCATTAGAGATGATATCGGGAGGACGAGTCCTGTTGTTTTGAGGCGCGCGGGTGTGTCTGGGGTTCCCTGATCGGGGCGCATGATACTTCTTTTCGTGTCGCTCGGTCGGTCGGAGCCACCTGTCTTTGACATGAGAAGATTTAAAAAAATGAAAAAAAAAAAATTGTGGAAAAAAAGTGCTTTTGGCAGTAGCACGCGTTTGATACGTGTGCTTGTTGAAGATATCATCTTCCACTTTAAGGCGGGTTTTCTTTGAAAGTTCAATTTAAAAGCCCACGCAACTTTAGCATTTAGATTTAAATCGAAACGGAAGACTTTGTTCCATCAGATGGCTTTATTAATTCCCACAGTGCTGCCAGGTGGCGGGTGCCGCGGCGTGGTGGTATGGGCCGTAGCGCCCGAGCCAAAGAGAGACCCCGAAAGGTTGCGGGTCAGAAGCAAGTAGTTGCATACCATGAATATTCCGGTCCACAAGAGGCGGGCGGGCGGGAGGAGAAGTGCAAATGCTGCTGCTTGGGCGCGCTGCCGCGGCGCTGGTCCGAAAATGGGAAAACACTTGAATGACCTTCCTGGCTGGCGGCCGGCCGCGCCAGCAGCGCTGCCTGTGAAAGGGGTAGGGGGGGG